GCACATTAGGAGGCTTCAGGACCTAGGACGAACTCCTGCTCAATTGCATGTTCGCATTCTCCTCCTTGATGCTGCTCTTGTTGTTGTTGTTGTTGTTGTTGTTTGGGCAGGTTCTCTGCAAGCTTTTGCTAATGGCGTGGCTAACACGATTTGCGGCAAGCCCCGGCATCAGTAGCCCCCGTCCAGCCCCACCAGTCGGGAAATGGAGGAAAACAAACTGGCAGGCCGAGACCGCGAGTTTCCAATTGCAAAACCGGCGTGCTGCTGCTTGTGGTGCTGCTCCTTGGCTGGATGTTGAAAGGAAAATGGATCGAAATGATGAGCAAAATACAATGCCTGATCAAACATTCCAATTGGAAATGGGAGCAGCGCGAGCTCTGGACATGCCAGAGGTTGAAGCTTCGGCTTCGGCTGAACTCTTGTCTCCCCCGCTAATGTGCGTCAATTTCAAGGGGGTAGGATGGGGGGTTGTCGTGCAAGCTGAGAATATTAACAACGCGTACAACGGTAACAGCAGCAGCAGCAGCAGCATCAGTTCTAAAACATTGTTAACTCGGTAGAGCCGTGTGCCGTTTACATAGCTCAGTGCACCGTGTGACGGGAAGCAGGAGCAGAACTCTAGGGCCTGGGACCTGGACTGAGTTTGGGCCTGGGAATATCACAGGCACGAGACTGCGTCAACTGCGAAGATGGGGGGAGTAAAACGACGCGCCGTTGCGCGACAATTTTCCGCTTGAATTACGCTCCCAGTTCATGCTTCGTTTGCACAAGCCAAGCCAGGCAGCGGGTTGGGGCAGCACACTGGAAGAAAAAATAAATAAGCGGTAGCAAATTTCCATTTTTGCCAGGCCACTCAATGGGTGGGGAAACTAGAGAGGAGTCAGGGGGAGTCGCACCCTACAGGTGCAGGTGGCGACATTCGACGCGACAATCGACGGACCTCAGCCCGAACCCCTGGCCCTGTCCCTGTCCCTGTCCCACGTGGCACCGACTCGCTTCCTTCGCTTCCTTTTATACTAATTCTCCCTGGAGATAAGCGCCATGCAAATAATGAAAAACTATAAAAACTCATGTGCGGCCAAGCAATCAGTGAGCAGGGGGAGGCAGGGGAACCCGAGCCATGGAAATAATATTGGCAAAAATAACACAAAACACAACAGGGAAAAACTGTGTGTGCAAAAGGGCGGAAAATAATTCAACTAAACATTATACACGTATTTACATAAATGAATGAAAGCCGCTATATTCAATTACCCCCCTCAGACGCCCCTCCACAACCACCCAAAGACTGTTGAAAGGTAAAAGGAAAACAGTCTCAATGGGCACTGGAACTTGGTTACTTTTGAGTGCAGGAAAATGCGTTTTTAGATCCCTAATTTGAGTCTAAAAATAATAACTAAAACATAATAATAATTCACACATTTCAGGCAACTCTTAGCAAAGATCTCACCCACATTTAAGCCAGTTAGCAACTAGATATTCCTAGCAGTAGTTTCACATCCTCAATGCAATTACGGAACCCCGAAACGAGTAGTTGCTTTGATTATCTAAAAGCACACAGGATACAGCTTACAGCTTACAGACTGCAGCTAGTACTCAAATATTTACTAATCCGGCACTGAACTATCATTTCCTATTTAGCTTTGAACAATTCTGATTGTGCTACAGAGAAGTAAGGGGCAGGCAGCAAGCAGGCAGGCCTTGAATCAAAATTGAAATCTCAGCCCTGACAATAACATTTTGAAGAGGAGCGCAAGAGGCCTGCCCAATGGCAGGAGACGAGACTGTAGCTGCGGAGGGGACTGCGACTGCGACTGTGGAGACCTCTACAGGGGCTGCTGTTTGCATATCAATTTTAGGGGGAAAAATAAGCAGCAACTGGGCGCTGACTGGCATTTGTGTGTCAACAACTGTTTGGTATGCGTGGCATGCGGCACGATGAGGTTGCCAGGCCCACATACAAATGAGTCCTTGTGGGTCACGTAGCCATTCAATAGGTCAACGGGTCATAACAACAGATTCGCCCAGCGATATTTGTTATCGATGTTCGTTGCCTGTAATTAATAAACAATGACCGGCGGACTTCCACGAATTAACAAAGAAATTATAAAGTAATTTCAGCATAATAACAGAGGGTAAGGAAGCGGCAATTGTCACTTGAAAATGTTGCGCATGCAAATGAAGAGCCAAGCGGAGACTGTCAAGTCCATCGAAGGATTTCAGAGGGGGGTAGAGGAAGCCGTAAACTGACAATGATGCCAACTGCCGGATGACTGCTTAGCTAGCTGCGTGCCGGCGGGGGTGAGAGGACTGCGAAAAGTTGAAACTTTTAATTTGATTTGCAGCATTTTAATGGATTTTAATGAAACGCAAACAGGCGACGACTGCAGCAGCAAAAAAAAAAAAAAAAAAAGAAGAAAACTCGCAGCAGCAGAAGGACACTCGAAGCGTCGCGGAGGAGAAACTTTGACAAATGCCAAAGCGCGAAAAATTCACTTCATTTTATTCTTTTTTGGATCTTCTTTTTCGGTAACTTAGACGCAACTCAACTCCGACAGCGGAACTTCGACTGCTGCCTGCTTGGCTTTTCCTTCTTCTTAATTGAAAATGTTTGAAATTCCATGCCGACTCCGTCTCCGACTCCTGCTCGAAATACCAAACACCAAAAAGTCACAAGAAAATCTGAAGCAAAATAATGCAGAATTAATTTCAATTAGGTGTACTTGCCGGTATCATGAATTTGACAGCCAGGCGTCATAAGTCATGCATGTGGGTGGGAGCAGGGACGCGCGGCATGGCGTTGTCCTGCTAATTAAAAGCACATAAATTACGCATACGCCATGTGGCGCCTCGAACGAAATGGAGCGAACAAGAAGCCTTCAAAAAGTGGCGCATTCTTCATCAAAAGTCCAAGGGGCAGCTAATTTGATTAGCTTGGTCCGAGGTCCGAGGTCCGGGCCTCATTAAGTGGCGCTCCTGGCCTTTGTCGGCCAGATATTTGGCCTTTTTTTTTTTTCCCATTTTTCTGCCTTTCTTTTTGTCAGCTTCTGGCTGTCATCTTCTCCCCTTTTCGGTGTACTTCATGGCCTGTCTTTGGCACAGAACTCCATGCAACATTTAGTGGCAACTAATTGCAGCAGCATTGAAATTAATTATTTAACCCTTTTTATTGTTTAAGCTCCCTCTCTCTCCCGCTCGGCACCACTCCGCCCCGTCCGGCTTTTGGTTTCATTAGCATAATTAATTGTGCAAATTTGCGTGGTTAAACAAGTTATTATTTCAAAATTAAACGAGTTCATTCCATCACTGGCCGGGGTATTAGGCGGTGTGCTAAAGTTCTATGGGAATTTCATGGAATTCCATTGTGTGTTCCTTGACCTGCTGCGCCCCGCAATGCTAAATCTCCTCGAAAATTATCTCGTTTTCCACACAGGTGAGCCACCACAAAGCCATAGACAATGTGGCTGGGGGCACACATCACAATGCCAACACACACAAAATCTATTACCTGCCAAAATCCACTTATTAAAGGCTTACTTACAGCGCCTGTGTGTATTCCCCACATATTGAACCAACGCTGCACCACAAGAGCTGTGGGTGGGGCAGAGGCCTGACTTTCAATTAAAACTCACACGACCACAGGGCGGACGGGGGGGCGGGCATATTGAGCTCTGGCAACCTGTCGGTAATGCTGCAGCTTAGCGATATGTAGTCTGAATAAACGCATTTCAATCCATAAATTGAATTATTTTATTTATCTTATTTATTTGAATTTTTCATGAACAGCAGGAAAAAAGGAAACAAAACTTAAAGGCGACTCTGCAGTTTGCCCCTTTTGAAATATTTTACACAATTTAATGGCACAATGAATAAAAAACATAATGAAATGCTCCTATATACAAATACATTATCGTTATACGTTTTATTCGTTATTTGTTACTGATTTTGCGTTTTACAACCGAAAGACGTGCGAATTAAGTAGATAAATTAATTTATACATTTATTTGTAATTCTTTATCTGACACACTCTGAGTTTTTTTCCCTGCACAGACACTCTGTGAGTTTTATTTTAATTTTGTGCACACTCTGGGAGTTTGATTTTAATTGGATATTTATGAACAAAAGTGATTTTCAAAATATTGTTCAGGCTTCATTTCATTTAAGTGTCAAGTGTGTATCAAGTTATGTTGAATTATTTTATTTTATTTGTTTTTTTTGTTGTTGTGTGTTTTAAATGTAGCCTGAGTATGCATTCCTTTTTTTCTGCTATATGCTCACGGGTGAGGACAACGACCCGTGCTTTAGCATTTAGTTGCTGTACTTACTCTATTATATGCTGTGATTTGTTTTATTTAAACAGTTAAACATACAACCACATGCATGTACGTATTTTTGTCGTAGTATTCCCTCTGTGACATGATTTATAGGTTTTTGTTTTGCATGTTTTAAAATTGTATTTACAGCACAAATTATGCTAGACTTAATTATAATGATTTTTACAGCATCGTATATATTCCCGCTGATAAAATCTCTCATGTTATTTCCCCCATTAATTTCAATTCGTTTTTGTGTTTATACGACCATTTATTTTTTTTTTTTGTTATGTTTTATGTTTATTGTGTTTCATATGCATTTATTTTTTATGTGTGTTTCCATCGGACAAATAGTGTGCGGCTGCGGTTAAGTATAGTACTCGAAAAGTGTTCAATTTGTGCACTAGCATTGGATCTGTGTCTGTTTGTCATTCCGATTGCCAAGCAACGAATGAAGGAAAAAATGTTACACGCTATATATACAAAACATTCGATATAAATTCGATGCGACATTGTGCTTGGATAGTATCGGCAACGGTGAACCGTAAACAGGGCAGGTTTTGCTCTTTTTTGAACTTTAAAAAAATGTAATCCAGCACCTTAAAAATATCAACATTGAACACCAAAATACTCTGAAATAAATCACTTTTTAATGCTTAAATTAATAAATGAATTGAATTCACATGAAATGAAGTTTCTTTCTGCAATTTGTGTGCATTTTTTGTTGGCACAATTTGTTTTCAAACGTATTTACACAACACCCCAAAAGCTTTGGCCTATTGACTAGTTCTTTGTTACGGTCTTACCTTTGTGTGTGTTTTAGCCTAACTAACTAACTAACTAACTAACTAGGTGACTAGCTGACTGTCTGACTAACTAACTAACGTGATGATATAGTTGCCTCCCCCTGCGACTCGCAGCCCCTGAGCAATGCGCAGTTCCCGAACACTCCGCAGCCCGTTCATGAGGGGCGTCGATAACACAGTGCGAGTGCGAGAAAAAGTGTCACCAGGCAGCCGGAAATTAGCGATGTCGTGCAGCTCCTTTGTGCGCCGCCAGAATCTGCAGGAGCGAAAAAAGAGCGAGAGAACAAGAAAAAAAAAAGACAGGAAATGTCACGGCGGTTAGTTAATTGCATTGAAAGGAGACCAAGACCGAGACCAAGGAGCAAACGAAATGCTAAATTGCACAAACCAAAACCGGAAAAAGGTGCAAGCGGGAGTAGTGGGTGGGGTTTTGTGGCTTGTGGGGTTTGGGGTTTGGGGTTTGGGTTTTGTATTACTTACTTGTGCCCGCATGTATCAGCATTTGATTGTTCAAATTATCGAATTGCGAGAGTGAAGCGCTGAGCGATGTTTCCCGCCTCAGCTCCGGATAATTCTCAATTTCCGCCACGCACTTGAGCTCGAGAATTTTACCCGACTGATAGAAACGTTGGCCCTGCAGATAAAAGTGCACCTGCAGCCGCTGGCGACGCAGCACATAGTCATGGGCTGGAATGCTGGTGTCAATGGTGGGCTGCAGTTCGCCGAGAAGGGGCTGCAAGTGGACGAGGAACATAAGAAAGGTTTTGGGTACTGGGAGAGGCACTCTCTACACCAACCTGCTCGCCATTGATGTACCACGTTAGCCGCGTGGGCAAACTGGAGTAGTCCGAGGAGCATGTGGCACTTAGGAACTCCTCCATGCGGTACATCGAATTGAAGCTCTCGATTAGCGGATCGCTCTGGGGCAGTGCTGTGTCAAAGGAGAGCCAGTAATTAGCAGCAGTTAATGTCTGCGTGCTCTGTGTTTGCCCCTCACCTGCCACCGTCATGTTGTCGGCCTTGTCCGCCAGCTTAAAGTGCGGTGCATCGCCGCTGACCTCGCACTTGTACAGCCCCGTGGATCGTGCACCCTGCAGACTCAGGTCCAAGCGGCAGCTGGACTCGTTGCACAAGTACTTGCCATCGAGCACTTGCAGTCCAGGCACACCAAAAGTCATGTAAATGGGACTCGCCAAAGGAGAGTATCTGTGGGTATAGAACCAATCAGAATGTTGTTTCTGCAAGCAGTTTTGCTCGCTGATTAATACCTAAAGAACTCCTCGTGATCCTTGTACCATTTGACCGAGTTTAGGGTGTGTCCGCGCATGTCATAGCTGCAGGAGAGCGTCACATTGTCACGAAAGTCCACGATTTCGGGCACGCTTATGTCCGTGACGAAGAGCGCCGAAACGAATGTGTGATCTGAGGGTAAGAAATAGGAGTTATAATTATGTGGGAAACTGCATTTAATTATATAAAAAAGGTCAAAGGAAATGCCTTTGAAATGATTAATATATTCTGCTAAGATAATGCTGGAGTTAGTTGTTGAATGGTCAAGAAACAAGCCATCAAATGTGCTCTTCCAACTGGCAGCTTGTTGCCTTTTAGTTGCCAGTTTTTTGTCTGCAAGTTGCTGGATTCGTATCGTAATTTGTATCATTACTTATCACCTAACAGGCAGAGAGATAAAGAGACAAAACACAGAGTGAAAGCAGCTTCCGACTGTCAATCACTTTTGTGTCTAAACATCTTTAGAGGCACAATTTTTTCTCTCTGAGCGAGAGCTTCAATTACTGCAGCCCACCCCTTAAAGGTACAAGAAGGACCTCAAACAAAAGAGTTTTCATCTTCATTCAAAGGAACCACTTTTAATGAGAGTTTTTGTCACAAATTTCATGCCAGTTTTTGCAGTTTTTGTTACCATTTTAATGCAAGTTTTTGTTACTGCCACAAAATGATTAAAGCTCTGCCCCATGGCTGAGAGCCCGATCTATTTCCTGCAATCGATTGTGGGCTGTGTGTGTGTGTGGGGGGGGCAGCAGGTGCAGGCAACCGTTACCAAACACAGACACAAAACAAGCACTACAGCAGCCTGTGGGCAGTGGACACAGGCAACCCGGTAGCCACAGGCCAATGACAGAATTTGGTGTCTAAAACATAGGGCGGGGGACATGCAGAATATTGGTTCGTTTTGGGAGGAGGGGATCCTTTTTGGGGCTGCGTAATTTTTAATACACGCAGGTGACTGACCTGACATAAGGGGGGATAACAAACGGGACAAGGGAGTGGAGGAGCTGCCTGCCATGTTCTGGGTACATGAGACATCGAATAAATTTGGAAATTTCATGAAATGAATATGCAAAACAGTTTGGACTGGTCCAGGTAGCAGATAGAGAGAGGAGAGAGAGAACCAGGACTAAGCGCAACAAAATGCAATGGGCTATGGGATATGGGTGCACGTTGCGGCCATATGTAACTGGCAGATGTACGATAGTTATGGCAGCAGCAGAGCGGACAGAGGACAGAGAGCAGAGGGCAGAAGGCAGTGCTGGCCAGCGATAAGCCATGGCTACAAAATGCATAAACCTGCAGTGGGTGGAGGCGCATTGATAAGAGACGAGAAACAAAACCAACTGTCAAATGACGACACAACTCGACTTTCAGTGTGGCTAAAATTATGAATGCAGCTGACGCAAAAGGAGGAGCAAAATTAAAGTAAATGCCAAGCATTTTCTTCAAATGTTAGATGAGTATTTAATGCATGAAGAACTCTAACTAAGACTTGCCTTGCTCCTCATGTAAATATATTTTGATATTTTGTATTCCTTGCTCAAGTTATTTATTCCGTTAAATCAATTGGAATTTAATATTTAAGCTAAATGGCAAACACGCAAACAGAAATCTATGCTTAAGCATTCAAGTATTTCTTGTAAATTGATTTGGAAATTCTTCTTTGGCTGTGGAAAATTGATGGAATCCATTAGCAAAGTTTTTTGAGTCAACCAAAAACTAATGAGAACTTTAAGCCGCTCTCTGTGCCATTTGTTGGGGCAATGCCAAGCCCACAGCTTGGCTAACCACACACTGGGGATGTACACCTCAGCATGTGAAAACTTTTCCTGATAATTAACCTACACATTTCATTCGGACGCATTTACTTCACAGAGCCAGAACCAGGCAGGGGGCACTGCATTTTTGGCACTGGCTGGAGACGAGCAAGTTTCGTGATAAATTCATTTAGAGAATTTGCCTTGGTCTTTGTTTCTTTCACAGATTTACACAGAGGAGCATCACCAGCTAGTTTGTCTCCTTTGTGGCCAGCTCATGTGCATAAATATTCATTACATTAAAAGTCATAAGCTGCAGCACAAGAATCCAGAAAGAACTCCACAAAAAGCAGTTGCAGTCGAAAATAATTGGGGGCACTTATTGGGTGGGAGGAACACTAAGCTTCCATTTTTTTGTGGACAATATTTAATTCCATTAGGCAGTCTAAATTGTTGCCCAGAAGGAGCACAGCACAGCAAGCACATGGCAAACACTCAGAGTCCTTTGGAATTGGAAAAGTTACCAACCGCACACACACACACACACACACACACACACAGCTCCTTTTGTGTGGCGGCTTGCTTTGTGGGAATCCCCCGGAATGAATGTGCTGCTCAGAGCGAGGCGTGTGTCAGCCACAGAAAGGAGAGGAGAGGAGAGGAGAGACAGAGCTCTCGCCGGTGAGCTAAAACTTTTCATATACCCAAAAAGTTACCAAAAAATGAGTTCCAGTTCATTAGACAACCGAAAATCTTTCATTTGGCAAGTGAAGAGACACATGAAATTGTGGAAATTAATTGGAAAAATCGAAATCAAACAAAGTGAAAAGCTGCTGTGGATATTTTCCCTTTCTTTTTTCCCATTTCCAACGAGTAGCAAGTGAACTTTCCACCAGTTCGAGCTCTGAGTAAAGAAGAGCAGCGATGGCAGCGCGGAGCTCATTTAATGCGCTGCAAATTAATTGCCCCATTGCCATTGGCAATTGAAGGAAGGAAGGGAAGGAGTGGGGTGCTGGTTGATGCCTTTGGCAGTCTGCCTAATTGCGAACATTTCAAAAATACAATTTAAGTTTAAACTGCACTCAAGATGTGCAGCAGGACCAACCAAAGTTGTGGCAGCAAAAATTACCAAATGCCAAAAGGGATGAAGGCTGCCGAACAGCAGCCAAGTGGCAAGTGGAAAAGTGCAACTGCAGCGGCAACCACCACCAGGCAAAAGTCATTAAAACAGCCCAGAGTCAGAGGCAGGCCACAGAGTCAGAGCCGCCAGCGCAAAACTTTGCCAATATTGATTTGCGGTTGCGGTTCGATCCAACAGCAATAACAATTATAATAATAATAATAATAATAATAACAAAATGCATTTGATGCAGGAAGGCAGTAATCCCCGCTAAATCGCTTCATTAACGAAGCAAACAGCAGCACAGCAGGACACGAGACAGATCAGAGAACAGAAAGGAGAAACTTACCAATTAAAAGCGCGTTGAGCAGAAACAGCAGCCAGCCGTAATCCATTTTTGCGTTTCCTTTCGTTGCAAATGTTTGAATAAAATTAATTGCTGATATTCAGTTATTGTTGTTGCCCCTTTTGGCCTTGTCGTTGATTTATGCAGTTTTTATTTCTCGGAACTGATAACGAAAGTTGCACTGCAAACCAACAAAAAAAAAACGTGGAAGTTCAATGGGTGACGCTCTAGTAATTGAAGCCAGTGTCGAAGGATAACCAAGGGATATGCGAGTGAACAAAAAAAAAATAGAAACAAATTGAAATCGAAAACGAAATGAACACAGGGAGGGAAGCCGAAGAAAGTGGAGTGGCAGGATGGAGATATAAATAAGTAAAGTGAGCGACAAACTCATGCAGAAAAGTTCAAAGGATATGCGCTGGCAGTGCCGTTATAAATAAATAACAAACAGTACAGGGCAAAAGAAAAAGACGAAAAAGAGGAGCAGCAGCCAGAGCCAGGACTCGCTTTGCTGAAGACAGGAAGTACGTACTCGCATGAAAGGGAAAGGAAAGGCAGGGCAGACACAAAAACCAACACACACACACACACACAGACACACAGAGAGAGAGAGAGAGAGACACACGGAGAACATGGTCCAGCGGCAGACGTGTGGGCGTGGCAGGACGCCCAAGCAGACGATGTATGTATGTGTGTGTCAACTTAAATAATTTAAATGCCAAATTCAAAGGAATCCATGTGTTTAATATTTGAATAAGCCAGCCAGCCAGCCAGCCAGCCAGTGAGCCAGTGAGCCAGTCATCCAGCTATCCTGCCATCCTGCCATCCTGCCACACGTGTCTCCCTTTGCTCCTTCGTCTGCTCCGTACCTTTTTGTTGTTGTTTAGTCTTTTGCTTGTCAATTTGGTTTTTGTCGAGGGTTAACAACATTCAACTGAAATTGAAGCGCACAGCTCCGGCGGAAACGGAAGTTTGCCCGTTCAGTTTGCTCGTCAGTTAAAGATACTTTTTGTCGGTTCGTGCGGTTGTCCTGCTGTTATTTTTATCACTAATTGACATCACGCGAGGTTTGTCTCGGTCTAACTTTAACTTTATTTTAGGCTTTCGCTCACAGCGTGGCCACGAGTCCTCAGCAGCGATTTCATGTCTTAATAATTATTGTTGTTGTTGTTTTTTTTTTTTTTTGTTGGTTTCTTGTTGTTTTTATTGACCACAAAACGGGGCGACAAACGCAGCACTGGTGCAGGGTATCTCCGCGCGGCTTCGAGCTTCCGAACTGACTGAAGCTGCGGAACACAGTCCTCGGGAGCATCCTCGTCGTTGGCACTGCTGCTGCGGAGGCGGCGGCAGCTGCTGCTGAAGACTTTGTGGCCTCGGGTCGTCTCGTTTACACGACCGCTGGGAATCCCGTTACAAGGCGCACTCTTCCCGCACGAGCAACAGCAAAGAGAGAGAGAGAGAGCGAGCCGAAGAGCGGATGCTGCGTCGCAGCAGCAGCAGCGGTGGCGATTTTTGTAGCTTTGTCGCTGCTGGAGAAACGAACTGTTAAGTAACAGCGATGGAAGTTGACTAACAGCACGCTGTTAACGCTAACAGTAGCAGCTGAACGGCGCGCTCTTACGCTTAACAGTGGCTGCTGCTGCTTCTCACTGTTACGCTTAACAGTAGCTGCTGCTGCCAGCAGGCAATGTTAGTAGCGCCCCTTCCCCCTCGCGCCAGTTAAACATTAACATATTCATATGGGCCTGACTGGCCAATAGCTGGAATAACTTTAGCAACTTGCCTTTGAGGCGGCATGGTGCCTGTCACCTTTCGGTCGGTCTGTTGTCTGCGTGCAAGTTTTATAGTTAACGGATATCCCTGGTAGTTAAATGCAGACAACAACCAGGACAGGGCAGGGCAGGGCAGACTGTCCAGGCTGTACGGGCTGTCCGGATTGCAGCTGCATGTAAAAATATTACGTGCAGGGCTGAAAGATAGAAGACAGCAGCGCCAGCGTGCGGGTGGTGCAGGAGCAACGACAAGGACGACGACGGCAGCACAAAGTCATCTTATCATTTCATGAATAATGCAGGGATTTGTTAGGGACACATGACTGGAATTTTACGCAAAAGTTGTGATGATGTTGCCGCTGCTGCTGCTCCTTCTACTCTTTCTTCTTCATTCTCCATTCGCCAGTTACCAACCGCCAACACTTTGAGGTTGTTGCTGTTGCTACAGTATAACTGCACTTTGCTGCCACAGCCACTGCTGCTGCTCCTGCTCTTGGGTGCGGCAATCAACAGAAAATTGCAGATTTTAAATTCAAAGCATTTTCGTTGCTGTCCCTTTTTAAGCTCACTTCGTTGCTTGTTGTCTCATCTCGACGTAACGCTATTTTTTCCCTCTACCCTCTTTAGAATGCAACTTAATTTCAACGAATCATTTTTGATGCTCAAATATGAATATTAAAACAAAGACAACGTGCAGCCCGTGCATATGCTTCGCTCTCTCTCTCTCTCTTGCTTTTTGCCATTGCTAAACCGGAAGTTAGTCTGCTGTAAATACCATTTCCGGCACTTTTTCACACCCACACATCAGAGCACATGCCAAGGCATTATATGCAGGCAGCTATGTACCTGCTGCTGCCTTCATCTGCCCTGCCCTGCCCTGCCCTGCCCTGCCCTGCCCGTTATTTATTTTATGTGTGAGCTTCCCTCAAGTCACGTGACAACTCCAACTTTATGCCACTGCAAAAGAAAAGTGCACAAAAAATATGAAAAACTTGCCAAAACCCTGCAAAAAAAAAAAAGGTGGCAACTTCTTTCAGGCTGCACTTACACACAGTCTTAGCTGCGTGTGTGTGTGTGTGTGTGTGTGTGTGGGGGGTGCATAAAACTTTCCCTACATATAAATCAGAATATCTTGAAAAATTCATAACTTTAAGTTTGCTTTATGACTTTTGTTTATAACGTGTTACCTACGTACCTACCACACGGCATTTTGCGTAATGCCAGCTCCCAAAACCGTTTTATAACGTGAAGCAAAACTCAGGCGCGCTTTTGCCCGACAGAGTCTTCAATAATAGATTAGTTCTCAGTTCATGGCATATGCATTGATCGAGGGATAGCCCTGACAGCAGCGAAATATGTGCAAGGAAGAGGGTTAAAAAATGATATAGAAAAATATTATTGGGTCGGGGACTCGCACTGCAGTTTCGTTTATTGGAAATAAAGTCACTGCTGACTCTAGTCCCTGCCTGGAATCCAGCAGTCAGCGGTTTTATTTAGCTCCCTTTGCATTGTCAAGTAAAATTAAACGAAAATTTCATTTTGTTTTATTTATTTGCCGCAACAAGTGTTAATGCTCATTTGACGCATATTGTTGCTGGCTTTGATCTGCCTAGTTGTGCATTATTAAATTAGTAAAGTAATCCGAAAAGTGCTGCGATTATGTATGATTTGCAGCAGAATTTATTTTTTAAAACATATCAAATCCCCGCATAAAAGCCATTTGACATATGCAACCACAGCAAACAAAAAGTGTACGAAAAACTTAACATATTCAGAGAGCGATGAATAGCTGGGAATTATGTGTTTATTTAGAGGTATAAAGAAGGAGATATGTGGGAATCTATGACCTTAAAAAGAGGCCATCGGTCGGTTATAATATTACCACAAAAATATATATACAAATATTTATAGATAATTCTTTGGCCACTTCAACTTATCGCTTGAGATAGCCACGCGCATAGATAGTTTCTTGGCTAGAGATTGTTGAATATATAAATATTTATTGGCAACTATTTATAGCTTATGGCATGGCTGGAGGCTTCTTGCCAGTTATTTTGTTGCTGAGTGTTACGGAAGCAGCCGTGGCCGAGCGGTTAAGGCGTCTGACTAGAAATCAGATTCCCTCTGGGAGCGTAGGTTCGAATCCTACCGGCTGCGATATTTACATCTTTTTTTTTTTGTTAATGAAATGAACATAATTTTTCTGACATTAAAAATTGATAGTTTAAATATTGCGAAATCGATTGCACGATTTTCACAGTTTAATGGCTGCTCGATTGGCAAGAAATTGAATGCTCAAATGTTCACACTTACAGCCCTACAAAATATTCTTTTCCATATTTGTAAACCACATTTTTGGTTCGGTTTAGTTTTTGCGGTTTCAGGCAAAGCATTTTGTGGTCTGGGGTAAGAAATGTTGCAACCTTTTTTGTTGCATAAATGTGTAAATATTTATATATGTAGGCGAGTCCTTTGCCTGTCTGCCTGCCATGACATACTTAGCTGGCTGCAATCAAGGCACCGTCATATTTGGCCACAATATCTTGGGCTCAGCCCGACAGCACCCTGAAGAGCTGGAAAGTTACCTTAATGAAAAACTAAATTGTCAATCAGCCATGAATTGAATCAAATGAAGTGTAAAATTACAATTTCATCCAATTTGCAATTAACTCAATGAGAAGATGGCAACAAAAAAGAAAAATAAAAATCAGAAGAAGGAGAAGGAGAAGCAGCATTTTTTTTTCCAATTTCAAATTATTCCAATGGAACGCACATGCTGCAGCTGGACGAGTACGAAAGGGTCTGCCATTGGCTCTGTGTGTGTGTGTGTGTGTGTGGCACTTTCACTGTGTACAACAAACTGCAGTTACAACAGCATCAGAGGACAACACTTTTGCGGTGGCTCAAATCGCTGACATCATTCGCGGACAGTTTCTTGCAGGGTTCTACCTTGCTGCTGCCACTGGAAAAGTGCAAGTTTAATTGCATTGAGTGTAACTAGTTAATGGCTGAAACTGCAAATTGAAATGGTGACAAAGTAATTGAGGTCAGCAACTCCCCGAATGCCAGCAGCAGCAGCGGCATCACCGACTACCATCGAAGCGCTAATTACAAAAACGATCCGAACAGCACAGGACACTCTGCCGCTGCCAATGGGGTCACTTGGCTGTGTCTTTTTTGGTGCCAGCAATAACTGAAAATATCCATGCACCCAGCCAGGCAGCAGCAAAAAAGTTGTGCGAAATTGTCAAAGTTCTACGGTTAGTCCGCTCGGGGAACTGTCTCTCTGTCTGTCTGTCTGTCTGTCTGTCTCTGAAAACATTTACAAATTGATTTTTTGTTGCCGCTGCTGTCATGTTGCAAAAATATATATTTTTGGTCAGCCGCAATGGGACTACCTAAAACA